AGTTTAGTTGATAAGTTATATATATATATATATATATATATATATTTCCATCTTATAGTGACATATTCAAATCATATTACTCCACATATCTACAGAAATAAGTTTCTAGAATACATGGACAGATGATTTAAACATCTTGTGCCTGAAAGAGATAGAAATTGAAACAACTTTATATTCGAAACAAATACACAAAAGATATGATCACATATATGTCAATATTAAAGACTACAAGTAAGACCCATGATTGAAAATGTCAAATTGCTTTAGTTTTGATTGATTGCATCCATTGAAAACAAGCCCCTTCACAATCTTACCATCGTCATCATCAGTTTAGATTTCAGAGAAAAACTGTGCTGGTTTAAGATATTATCATACATAATTTCAATTAAGACCACAATTAAGACCAATAATTAAAAATGTCAAATTGCATTAGTTTCAATTAATTGCATCCATTGACAACAAGCCCTCCACAATCTTACCATCATCAGTTAGGATTTCAGAGAGAAACTGCGCTGGTAGTTTAGGTGAGACATCACGAAAATTCATCTGAGACAATCAAAGTTGTATTAGGTAAACCAACTGGAACATAAATTAAAATATTGGGACTTTAGTGGACGGAAAGGGAAGATCATAGTTAGGAGACAAATCAAAAAAGGGGATTAAGATTCATTCTAGTCAAAATGTCCACCTACTATTAAATAATTGGTCTGCCTATTGCCAAAGCTTACCATTTGTGCTCTCTGAAGTACGGCCATTTTGAATGATTTTGGAGAGATTTGGGTTAGGTGATCATTAAAATATTAATTAGTATTATAAGCATATAATATAATATATTATTATATAATTAACTTTTTTATTCAAGAGTTTATCCATAATATTGTGTGAATTAACTTGTTTAATACCACATCATACTCATTTAATATCATATTAAAATTGTAAGTTTATAATATTAATACGTTGATGTGGGATTATAATTATAATATTGTCGAATATTAATTACATAATAATGGGTTCACATGTTTCTTAATGTAGGCATAAATATATTTATAAACACGGAAGAATTCCATTTGATTGGATGCAGAATCATTCTCAAATCCAAATTTAGAAGAATCAATTAATGTGGCGGAAAGAATGACTGAAAGGAAATGTGAATGGAATTTGCATGGTTTACGGGGCAAGGTTTTGACACTGAGAAGTTTTGAAATGTATGCAACTCAATTGAGTTGGTATGGATTGTGACATATAAACCATATTATATCGAGTAAGAATTCAACTAAAATTTTGCCATATTCAACTCCTGTTCTCTATCTACTACTGTTAATGATTGCAGGAGCGGAAGGGGATGAAATGAGTTTAGGGTTGAATGTGACATGTACGCTCCCTTGTTTTTGCGAACGTCATCAAATTTTGGTTCATTTTATGTGAAGTAAATGCACAAAAACTATAGATTACATTCA